AGGGCAAGCTGGGAAATTGATGTGTTCTCTCTGTGATTAGATTGTGCAGGAAAACCCGTCACAATTGGCTGTGGAGGTTTGCAGGCTTTTGGATGTAATCGCGGCAGACAAGGCCTGGGTGCCCTTTGTTGAGAGTGTACTGTAATCTGAATAGACACAATTGACAAAAGATTCAAGCACAGAAATGTCCATCTGAGATTGCCCGCTTGGCCAGGTGTTAAACCGCACTGCTAAGGTTCAATAGAGATCCATTACAAAGTCTTTTGTTGATGAATCTCCATCAGTGTGACAGCCATCACGGGTGACTGGCGAAATGGCATCGCGTCTGACTACGATTGCTTCCCCCGGATTGGATCCCATCAGGAGATTGTAGGTTCGACCCCTACGTCGCTCATTTTGCATCTTGTCTTTTCCAGCGGACTTCGGCGGTTACGAAAGTCATTATCGACGTATGTGCCCCATCTTCGCTCGTAACCAGTCTATTACTCCTCAATCGCTTGTTATCTGCTCCCAACCCGTGTGTTCCTATGATCATTTCGTGACGTACAATGCAAACCGCTAACTGCGATCTTATCATTCATCCTTGACAACTTGAACCAGTAACGCGCGGTGGCGCTGCAGGGCCGACCGGGAGTAGGTTCACGATTGCGTCAAGTTCGACAATGCGGCGGCTATCGATCACTGGGTCTTTGGAGAGCGAGTCGATTCTGGGCGGCGTCAGAGAGTGAAGCACCATCCCAACGGAACACAGGTGTCACGCACCTCGCTACGACCCGTTTGCGCACCTCGAGCTCGACGAGTTCAGTCGTCCCGGGTATCACCCCGAACGTACCCCGTATATAATACTCTCCTCGCACGATGCCTGCCCGTTTACCTGGCTCCCCCTCCCCCGATTCGCTTTCGTCCCCCTTATCCTCCCCCTCCGCCGCCCACACCCAATCGACCCTCGCCCCTCCCTCCGCGCACCGCTCCGCCATGCCCGCGATCATCGCCGTGAAGCCGTCAAAGTCCACCGCGTCGCCGTTGACCTGCGCGCGCAGCGTCCGGGCAAACGTCGCGTCCAGCGCGGCGAGAGTCGCCGCGGGGCTCGGCGCGGTGAATGTCGCAGAGATGCGTGACTTGGACCAGGATGTCAGGGAGGGCAGAGTGGGTGTATGTTCTGAAACTTCTTCGGACATGTTGTGCTGGATGCTGGTTGCTTTGGGCGATTTGTACTTGGAGACTGCGGACCTGTGGTGCTGCTACTATATGCAAATTGCGCACCCTCTGAGATCGTCGCATCCCTACCCGCCTGAATTGAGGTCCTTGAACCAAAATAGCTTTTCATGGACGAAGTGGATCATAGATGCCGATGCATATCTGCTTGTTGTAAGGAATCACGATGAATGAATGCGGCTTCAAGTTGTTCATACAATCGGCAATTCCAAGGCGACCACGAATAACTCTGCATGTCGGCGGATGTAGTTATGGAAGATCTCACCTCATCTCCCTACGCCTCGCCACTTGGATCGTGTGGTCATGGACCTTGAAAACATTTCGTCTTACTTTCAAGAAGTTGGCCGAATCAGCCTGCAATTTCCCCTTTCTCTCCAGCATGCACGCCCTTTGAAAGGAAAGGATAATGTACGAGATGTCACGATACATGTAGGTCCTGCGACCAACAGCTGGATACCCATGGTATGACGAACATGTAAGCTACTCGCCTACACGACATATCTAGTATTGGGTTCAGACTCTCTAGAGTGAATCAGTCGCATTCATGAACATCTCAGTCGCGCCTCACTCATCAGGGATCCCGACAACCACCAGCCCGGCAATCGTGACCTTCACCGCACTCTAGATCAGGAACATTCAGCTTAATTCCCTGCGCTCCATCGAGGTTCTCGATCACTCAACCCAGTAGAGCGCCAAACGCGCCCGCCACTGGCCTGGGTGCATGCATGCGCTGCTCATGCGCTGCGCCGCGGATACTACTGCGACAGACGGAACGTCGCGCACGACAAGAGACCCGTTTCAGCGAATCCGAGTGAAAACTGTGCTTTCCGTGAGACCAAAAAACGAGGTCGCATAGGCCTTCGGGACCATGATCAAGCCCCAGGCAGCTATGATGAATGCCACTGATCGTTGCGTGTGTGCAAGATTTAGCCGAAAATGACACTAGATATCTGGGGACACAAAGGACCGTTTCATCAGCAGGTTGGTCGGCACCTCGAAGAAACAGCACGAGACGAAGAACAGCGCAACAGATGTGGCGTACTGCACTCCGACGAGGTTGAGGTCTGTCACCCCGCCATTCGTGCATTGTCCATCTTTCCGTCCTTTCCAGGAGCGGAGTGATGATTGGGAGCAGCCGCCAGTCGAGTTTGCGGAGAAGCTGGGGTTGCAGAATCGTCGAAAACGACACCGAGGAGGACCCCAGGTCGGCCAATGTCACCAATGCCTTGATCACTGGGGTTCCCAGACTCTGATGCTCGGAATCTGGGCACCCGGAAGGGTGTATCAGAAGAAAAGTCTGACGAATTCTCCTGGCCGTCGAGCGATCGATTAAAATCAATAGCGAGAAGCGATGATGCGCCATTCTCAGTCCAGTACGCGCGTCGGCTCAGAAGCCAGAACTTTTGCGCCCTTCCGCGCCAAGACCATGAATGATGAAAGTGTGAGAGAAAAGAAAGGACAGACAGCGAAGACGCCCACAAGCGTACCCCCACATCCGTTCATCTTCCGAATGCAGCCTATGGCATCTTCCTGCCAAGCTTTCATCCGACTTTTATCCTGGGTTCCCAGGCAAGCATCTGCGATCAGAATGACTGGAAAGATTTTTGCATTTAACCAGCAAGTCTCGTGTGTTTCGAATTACTGGAAACTGTTATTGAGTGAGGAAAGCAGACTAGAGAATGAGCCTCGGAGGAGTGATTAGTGGCTCGAGGAATGAGGATCTGGGTGAGACTAATGACAGTTGCTGTCAAACTGCCGATTTCCCCACGCTTCGGCTCCCTGGCCTGTTTTCAACAGTTTTCAACCTTCTCTCACGAAGTCCCATGACTTTTGGGCGGGCCAAATGTATTCCATTCCCCGGTTCGTATCTGTCGTGTGGTCGACAAATCTTGCTGGCCGCCGGGGCTAAGACGTCTGTCCGACTCGCATGGGCCACGGCGTTACACGGATGATTCCATTCACGATCTTGTGAGAGTCATTCAGGCTTCCCTCGTAGGGTGTAAGTGGGCCCGAATCCCGCGTGGGACACCCTGCTCTTTCGGAGCAGCAGACTTGACCTCGTGCGGGGCCCTTCAAGCCTCTCATTCTCCCATCTCTTCCTTCCACAACAATGCCTGGCCTGTTGAGTGCCACCACCACCCCCTTCCCAGACTTCCCCACCGATATCTCAACCCACCCCCTGCTGGTGATTGACTACGCGTTGCTCGAAGCGGGCGACGAAGCGGAGATCGAGCGTCTGTGGGACGCAGCCCGCAATCTCGGGTTCTGGTAGTGAGTCGCCCTGGCATGCGTTCTCTACAGCATCTCACCACTCACACAGCCTCAAGAACCACGGCACGACCCCGCTCGTCGAATCGATGTTCGCTATGGCTCGGACGACCCTGGCGCTGCCGATGTCCGAGAAGCTGGACTTCGAGCAAGGCGACGCGGGCAACTCCTTCGGGTACAAGTCGGCTGGCGCCAACGCCGTCGACGCTTCCGGTGTCCCGGACACGGTTGAGTTCATCAACATCGCCAAGGACGACGCCCTGGCGTTCCCGCGCATCGCGCGGCGCGCGTATCCCGGGCCGGTCAACGACCGCATGGGCGATACGATCCGGCCGTTTGTCGAACGTGCGATGGCCGTCAACGGGCTGCTGCTGCGCATATTCGATGCGAAGCTCGGGCTGCCCGTGGGCACCCTCGCGCGGATGCACCCTGTCGAGGAGCATTCCGGCAGCGAAGCCCGTGTCATCAAGAACCCTCCCGCGCCCGATTGGAAGCGAGTGGCGATTGGCGCGCACACCGACTTCGGAAGCCTCAGCTTCCTGCACAATCGGCTGGGCGGACTGCAGGTGCTGGTGCCTGGCGCAGATCCGGAGAACGGTGGCTGGCAGTACGTCAAGCCACTGGAGGGCTGCGCCATTTGCAACATCGGCGACTCGCTGGCCCTTTTCAGCGGCGGTATTCTGCGCTCGAATATGCATCGTGTGTTGTGCGTTTTTTCTTGAATCATCTCTGGGTGCATCTGACTTCTCAACAGACCGGCGCCGAGCACCCAATCCACACAGACCCGGTGGTCGCTGGTGTTTTTCACGCGACCTGGGAACAGCGTTATCCTGCGGGCTCTCGTCGAAGATTCTCCGATCATCGCAGCTGCGGTTGCGCAGGCTGAAGACAAGAACAAGTTCGACACAGGATGCACGTCTCTCGAATGGTTCACCCGCCGAATCAAGAATCAGCGCATGGCAAACCGCGTTGGACCTGAGACTTGGATGAACAGTCGCGGCACGGAACACCAGCCTGCGGCATAGTATGAGATTCAGGCAAATATCGTATATTCTTAGCGTGCGAGGAGCTCAACGCAGTGTACTTCGTCCGAAGCAAGTGCCGAAATCTGCCCTTTCCAAGACTAGGCAATGAGATATGTGACCAAGTGAGAAAGCAGAGAAGAGGATCGTTCTAACAGTCATTGAAAATACTTATGTATTGTCTTGTGCTGAGTAGGCATCCATCACGAGCCAGAGAGAAATCTTGCAGGTAAACGTCATATGCCGACCTCGTCCAAAACATGATTCAGCAGCCTAATAATAACGACCGCCCCCAAGCATCATGATTTCGAGTCTGTGTTAGCACCTAAACTTACCATCGGATAGGCATGCTGAGAGTTTACCAGCGAACAAGAAACACTTCACGAATCTCTCAGCGAGAATCCACTTCTTAGCTGAACCTGACTGAGGAGCCACCGGCTCAAGACCTGCATGGCCAAACTCGGTCAGTTCATTGTGCTCCCTACGTCTATAATTATGGAACGACACTTAATGGACTTGAGGGACAGCGAGAACGTGTTGTTCATGGACAAAGCGAGCGATAGCATTGTTGTCGATCTCACGGTTTCTGCCTCGGGTTAGGGTATGAAAGATAGATTGATGACATGCGTTTGCGCCAGGTTGGAAATATTGTTGACATGTGTGTATTGCCACGGAATGTTCCTCTTGAGTGCTGCTCTCTCATCTCACATCGCACTCGATAGCGCTACTTGGTCACTGCATCATCCCGGTTTTGATCGGATCTGCTGCGCTCTTCCGAAGCGGGAATCCGCAGTCTTTCTTGGGGGCGAAACGTAAGTAGAGAGTGTGTGCTCTAGAACAATGGAGAGTGTCCGTGCGAGTTGTACAGTGAGGTTGTAATGATAGTCCAAAAAGCCAGTAGAAAGAAACATACATACTCCTCAATTTGAAGCGGCCACGCTATCTGAGAAGGAACCCAACCTCTGCGCCCTCGGCCGACCAGGCGAGCTCCTCGTGGACGTACTCAAGCTGGGGAGCAAGAAGCCACCAGTCCTGACAGGGGAAATACTGAACCGGCTGCGAGTGGAGGTCACGTCGTCCGACACCGACAGTACGTGTGTCCGCACGGGACTAGGTGGGACGGACACAGAGATGCTCGGTCGCCTGGGATATGGGTTCCGGGGTAGACTCGATGCCCGTCCTCTCGCCGAGAGCGGAAGCGGCGGAGGCCGACGCCCGGCCCGCGGCGTAGACCGCCCGGAGTCGCCTCTCCGGTGGAAGTCTGAGTCCGATCTCCTCGAGCGCAGCGCTGGAGAGGAACGAGCCGCGGCGGGCGAGGGGTTCCTGGGTAGGCCTATAGAACGGCCGTGGGGAGGGGTGCGAGGAGGAAGCTGAATTGTGAGAGAACGAGAGTGGGTGGCCTTTCGGCGGGGTTCGGACAACGTGCTTTGAGCCTGTGTCTCTTTGGAGGAGCTCATCGTGGCGCTGGAGAGTGGCAGTCCCGAGTTTGTGCCGGCCGCAGGCTCATTCGGATACCACTCTGAAACGAAAGGAACAGATTGAGGCAGCCGAGATGCGGCATGCTCGACCGCAGTCGATGGCTTCGCTTGTGGAACGAGGGTCGCAAATTCGGGTTTGGCGGTTTCTAACTGAACTGCGCCTTCAGTGTCCACTTTCTGAATCTTATCGCGGCGACTCTGAACAACGAGAATAACCACGAGGATAGCGAAAAGGAAGACCGAGACTCCGGCGACCACACCGGCAACGACAGCGATCATGTTTGGGTGGGAGAGCGATCTGGAGTGGAGGGTGCTGTCCTACGCGGGGGGTCAGTTGTATGCTCACAACCGAAGATAAGACTGCACGCACCCTGCGTTGAGGTGTGTCATCTGAGCTCAAGCATCCTCTTCCAAGACAGCGAGCGGCACAAACGCTGTGCGAATTTCCCGTTGGTCCCAGTTGACTTGTTCGAACGAACAGAAATGCCTCACCTGAATGGAATGTCGCTGATAACAAGAGCCAGGGCCAGCAGTTCTGGGAGGCGTACGATGTGCATGGGAATAGTGAAAAGGCGGGTCCGAATTCAGGACAGCCACTGTAAATCGAAAGGATATGCATCCGGACGAGGCTGGACAGGATCGTGATCAGTTACTGATCACTGAGGTGGGGTTGCTGGATTCGGGACCGGGTCAGTCAAGCGGATATCGTACCGTGTCAGTGTGAGAACTGAGCATGCATCGTAGAAGGCCATTCCTATGACTGCGGATTCTTTCTTAGTATACGGCAGATAGAGGCGGTGCTTTGCCGGTAGCAGTCATGGAAACCTGGAAGGGTTGTTCATCTTGCCCGTGATGCTTTGGTGGCGTCCCAAGACGACATCTTGGCCAAGTACTCCCTGCGGAAAGGGATCGGATGCATGCATGCATGTGAACTGTTGTCGAGCAGAGTCGACATGGCTGTGTATTGATCCAATCACTTCGCGTCCAGTCACAGTCAGGTAGCTAGGCTGTCACGGGGCTTCGCTGCGATCAAACTTCAAAACTTGACACTTCGCTGCATTTCTGGATGATTGTCATTTTTGTTGAGAAGATAATCGTAAAACACTGGATCGAAGATGGGACGTAAAAAACGATGGTTCACACCATTCCCCTCTTGATTCAAAAAAGCAGGCAGTACATTTCAGGGCTATGCATGGCATCCAGATCAGAGCCCAATGTGCTCAGCATGATGACTTGGTCGTGAGTGTAGTCGTACTGGGGCACGATCCACCCGTGTTGTCGAACGTCAAAGTTCCGAACGAGTTCTATTGAAAGTTGTTTAGTCCGTCCGCGGTAATGCAGCCTCAGCTTACCGTAAAAACACAGGCCGGCGAGAATCCGGCGATGGGCGGAGTGTTAAAGCTAGGGTTGGGTTAATTTTTCGTAGCGCATTTTTTTGTCTCTGCTGACCTGCATTGGACGGTGTTGCCGCTGTCCTGGCGGACAGTCGTCAGGGTGCGAACGACGCCGCGGAAAACGATGCTGGATGGGCAGACGGCGCAAGGCACGGCCGATACGCCAGAGGCGAACATCAGTGCGAGAGACAGAATGGCTGCGAGGTGCGCGAACATGGTGAGGACTGCCGACTGAATGTCTCAGCTCGTGCAGGCTCTTATAGTACCCTCTGCGCGGAACTTCCCACCGTCAAAGACGGCGCCCACCATTCATCCCTTCTGCTCTTGACACAGCGCGCGCTCCAGAGCATGTACAGCGATACTAGCCCGGGATGTCACGGCATAGATGGCTGTCAAACGTTGGTTTTTGAGGCTGGAAACAGAAAGGCGGGTTGCAAATAGATTCCGAGTCGAGCAGCTGACTGCGTCCGTGCGAGAACTTGGTTCAAAAGGAAAGATAACAGCCTCAGAGACACTTCTAAAATGGACGCGAGGCAGGGCAACCATTGAAAGGTGGATCGCGTCGCGCTTACAGTAAGATGGAGAACAAAGAATCGTAAGACGCGTGGCGATGTCGTTTACCACGTCCATGATCGGACCAATCCAGACTCTGATCGGCTTTGATTTTGTTCGAATTCATACACAACCTGTGATGAAGACCTCGAACCAAGCCGCACGGATTTCGATGGTATTCAAGGATTAAGGAAAATTTCTGTGCTCAACTAGTTGTCAGGCCATCAATCTCCCAATGTGGCTGAAATTGAATATTGACTGCAGCAGACGCGATCACCTGACCCGGCGCTCTGATTGCCATCAACCTCTTTCACAGATGTGTAGACTAGCTGGATTTTGATTCATACCATTTCCATGTTAGCTAAATTTCAATTCATTTTCCAAGAACAGACTCTGCGAAGGTACCCGTCGGGAAACTCTTGGAACTAAGACGGCCCAAAGACACCTACTTGACCTGCCTCACTCTGAGTTGAGTCCTTTGCGAGGGCAACAAGTAAAGTTCAATTTGTTTACGTTGAAGTATTCAACAGCGGGAGGTAGTTTTCGAAACGGTCGGAATGACGCTCGGACACGCATTTCCCGCGTTCGTGAAAATCAGAACGCCATCCACATTCTGAAGCAAAGTTACGGCAATGGAGACAGAGAATGATGACGAGAATAAATACCCGGTAGAGACACCCAGGCGAGAAGTTCGGGATCGGAGGCGAGTCGTAGCTGGAGCGTTTCAGCATCCTACACTACGCCGGCATCAGAAACACCATCGAGGACTCACTTGCACTGGACATCGATATTGCCCGCGCCCTCCTCGCGCGAAAGCGTCAGTTTGCGCGTCACGCCGGCATAGACGATGGTGGGAGCGCAGACGCCACAAGAGATGGCGGCCGCAGCGGATGATTAGGTCAATGCCACGGCGAGAGAAATAACGAGACGAGAAAACATGGCTGTTTGTACTAAAATATGGGTGTGGCTCCGTCCGACCTTTTATACACGCGCCCCAAAGCGTCTTTCCGCCGATGAGGGTGATTGCAATGTGATAGCATGGAGTAAGTGTCGTCAGCAGGGGGGTCGAGGGTGAGCGGAAAGGCTTGGCCATTGCTCCGCATGCTGCAGTGGCCATAACTTAGCAGCGCTCCGAGTACTAAGAGGTAACGATCTTGGTGCCTGGACCCCTTGTTGGACATGTCCAGATGGTGAATTGATGCTAGGCCTTCAACTCTTGGACTCGGGCGCCTTGTGATCTATCCAGAACCGGTCTTCAGTGCGAGCTAGGCAGACACAAGCAGACACCAGGCAGTTCCATCAGGAAGAAGGCTGTCTCGCTTTGGACTCACCCGCGGTCACCACCTAATGGACCTGATGTCAATCACCTGTCACTCTCCCCGCTTGAATTCCAGCCCGATGATGTGTCGGAGCCGTGTTTCGGGATTTCGATGTCCAGGACACAATCAAATTGGGTTCTCGACACGCAACCTTCCGGCTTTGCATGTCCGACCGTGTTCCGTTTGTGGCACAAATCTCCAATCGACTGAGACTGATCACAATTAGTGACCTGGACCGCGTCGCGGAGTCCTCGCTGTCGGGTTGACGCTTTCAGACAGCAGAGACACTTGCTTAAATCGAGTCCCGCAGATCATCCTTCTTTCGCTCCGTGAGCGTCGCCTGCGCGCGTGAAATGTTAATGAAGTCTCCAATCCTAGTTCATAGAAGTTTGGTGTCTGCGCTTGAAGTCTTAAGACCATTATTTCTCTGCCTATCGTTTTAGACAAAAGTTTTTTGAACCAACGCTGCAATTATCTATTCAGTGAGTTTACCTGTAGTTGATAATTATCTATGGCTTGCTTGCAGTTCGATCTCGTGACCGCGAGTGTTGTTGTGACACATCACATCATTGCGTGACCGACCCCACAATTGACGACCGCCGAGTTCAGACCATTTTGTTAGTACCGGTCCAATACTTAAGAAAGCACACATCAGCGTCAGGCCCAATGAATATGGCGGACCACTCTTCAGGATCCCGGTATGAGTTTCCTTTTCTTCACAATCACCGCGGCTGACAAAACGAAGCACTTTCATGCAGGTCTACAACTCGCTACCGCCTGAAGCCAGGGAGTCCCTGGTGGAGAAGCAGCTTTCGACGCTGCTGGACTCTGCGCCTCAGAAGAGCTACGACAAAGGTGAGCGTGCACGTACACTATGGGCTTTGTTCGAGACATTCTGACTTTGTGCAGTGCTGAGAGCCGCGACGACTCTGAAGACCAAGTACGCGGCTGCCCCCACGCTGGACCTCAAAAGAAAGCAGAAAGAGATAAACGGGCTGATTGACGAACTCGTGCGGGATAGCAAACGCGCAATCGTCTGCGAACGCTCGCATCGCGATGAGCTGCTATCCGAGATTGTGGAGAGCATCGTCGGATGGCTGAACGGCATATGGTCTGTCGTATACGAGTACAACGTTCACTTTCAGGAGGCACACCGGTGTTTGGTCTACCTCTCTGAAGTGTTGGACGCTCTGAATGATGCACCGGGTACAGTCGGGTGTGTGCTGCTACTGCCACATCGTTTTGTTTCTCACAGCACGCAGGCAATGCAAATGCCCGCTGGCATTCAACGCTCTACAAGTGACAATACGGAAGAAAGGCAAAACGATCAAGACGTTTAGTCTGCAGGGTCCACGCAACCTCGATCGTGTGCTCCTGTGGATATGGCGGGACCTCTTCGTTTCCATGTTCGCGAAAGATATCCACACGGACCGTATACCGGATATGCTTCGCGATATCGAGGAGTGCATGAATTGGAAGGCTTTAGAGCGGCTGTTGTATGGTGGAGCTGCCGGTGTGTTCGCTGCTTGTCCTCCTAAATTCAAGACTTACGTCGGCCAGCTCGATCGTTATTCCGAGAGGATGCCGATGATGACGACGATGATTTCGATGACGACAACGACCAGGTCTGCCAAGATGATGACAATGACGGCGGCGAAGGCGAAGACGACGAGCCTAGCAGAGGTTCCTGGCGCTGCCGTTGCAAATATCATGCTAATCACTGGAACAAGCATGCCAACGACCAACGCAATGAGCTTCGCGACCTTGTCACTGAGCATCTTCAAAATCTTTTCGAGCTTGCGCCATCCCTGAAGCTTTTTACGAGTATTGTCGCAATCAGCCCTGATAGAGAGTTGACGGAGATGGACCTATTCGACACGATCTCCAACATCGCAGGGGCTTCAGCGGACGCACTTGTGGCTGCGCTCGAGATTCATGGCTCACAAGGACAGGCGGCCGATCTCATGAGCCTGCTCGAGGAGCATGCTCACTTACTCCGGCCTCGGGATGCTTCGGTTTACCAAGCAGCCGTCGCTGTTCTCTCCGAGTTCCATGGCTATCACGAGCAGGCGCTCGAGCTGGCTGAAAAAGAGCTGCTCGATGCTGCAGCCGGTGTGCGGATGGGCATCAAAACGGCATTCTCGCAAATAGATGATCCGACTTCAGTCGCTGCGCTCTCTGAGATTCTGAAGCTTCGGCCCGATCACTTGACACGCTCTCAGCGGGTCGAGACCTGGGTCGAGAAGGCGCTGACTCCCGGTTCTCAGCCTGCTAACCCGATGGCATTTGCGGCCATGGTCATGGGGTTCCCGTTCGCTGGCAGCTTTGACGAATCGGACGACGCAGAAGTGCTTGGGTATCTAGACATCGACTCGCGGGACCCTGACTTGGCTGACCTCCGGGAGGAATTCAGGCCTCGGCTGCGGGATCGCTTCGAGGGATGGACCAGTGTCATCCGCGACATGAAAGGAGGCAATGTGTTGCTGACCAGAGTGTACCTAAAGATCGTCGAGGACATGCCGTTGTTCAGGGTGAATGATATAGCGGAGGAAATGCTCAACCGGTGCGTGCCAATGCCGTTTCAGTCCATCATATCATAACCATCATGGCGCTGCAACCAGACTCAGTGAAAGACCTCATAAAGCGCATATATCCGATGCGATTGAGGCGCTGCAGGCCTTCTGCAAGACGCAGCGACGCAAAATTGCAGCCCGGGCTGAGAGGAAACGGCGGAGCGAAGCGAAGAAGGCCGCTCCCGTTGGCCCCCGCTCGCGGAAGCATGATGAATATGTTGATATGCCTGAGCTGTCACCCACCGACCGAGGCCCTGAACCTGGTTCCTCAAGCTGGGCTGGTGGTCTGAATGATGTGGACTGACGCAGCTCTCTCCCTTTACCTTACTTCTCATCTAATGATGTATATTACATTACTCACAACTTCTTGCTACTGCCGGGATCGATTAGATCTCGAGACTGGCATTTGCTCAAGGTGGACAGTTAACGTTCATCGTAAATCCTTGCTTCAAATTCCTTTCACGATGCGTGAGAGACTGCTAGTTTCTGCTCGACACATGGTGATATATACCAGCACGACATGGGATGGGACACGACATGGTTACTTACAGAGCAGTGCCTGCTCCAGGCGTCAGCGACCGGTGATCACCGGACATCATCCGGAGTCCGGACGTCAGTTGGGTGCTTTCATATCGGCTTTCGCGATGCCCGGTTCAATCACTAAACCAATCTTACCTTGAATGGATATTGATAGTCACGAGCAATGGACATGATCGTCACAACCCGCAGTTAGCACACCTCTTCTCGCCCACCATGCGCGTTCTTCTATGGTCTGCATACGCAGTGTCCTTTGTAGCGACGGCCGGGGCATTCAATCCTAGAGACTACAAGAAGAGCACTGCTACATGCTCCGCCGTCTATCGCGGCAACAATGAGGAACAGGACACGACCATCACGCTCAGTACGTCCGCACAAGGTACCAGAATGTTTAGCAACAATGCTGAGACGCGCAGGTTATGTGGATGTCAATCCTGGAACCAAACCGACCATACTCATGGTGCATGGATGGCCCAGTCTATGGAGTACTTGGTCGAGTCAAATTACTGAGTTCCATGTATAACCGCGCATACACTTCGTGTCGCCTCGCTGAGCACTTCCCAGAACAACTACCGGCTCATTGCACCGGATCTACGCGGCTTCGGAGGCTCTACGCACCCTGGAGACGCGCGAAAATCAGGAAGCATGCCGGACATGGTGGGAGATATGGTATGCGTCTTGCAGCGCGCCGGCGTGTCTTCAGCGGTGTGCATGGGGTGCGTGTCAATCACCCAGACCTACTTACGAAGCTGATAACTGACATACAAGACACGACTGGGGTGCTCAAGTTTGCTACGAAGCAGCGCGTATGCGGCCCGATCTGTTCACGGGGGTCATCGGAGTTGCGATCCCGTACTTGCCGGCTGCAGGCGACTTTGTCCCTACGCAGCATCTTGCTGTCGCCCTTCCGAAGCTCAGCTACCAGCTTTTCTTCAACGATCATACTACCAAAGCGGTGAAACAACTCGACCAGGATATCCGACGTACTGTCCGTGCCATCCTCCGGGACACGGCATCACCACCTCCCGACGCGTTCTTGGGAAGCAAAGACTCATTCCTGGAGGCATGGGACGGGGTTCAAGATGTGCTTCGACTTTCCTTTTGCCTCCGAGACTCTTCTTGACAGTCCTAGATCCCGCCTGTGCCGTTCTTCTCGCCCGAGGAGGAAGACTACTTTGTCGAGCAGTATAGCATACAGGGGTTCAAAAATAGTACGTTCCCCTGCTCTGTTCGGCTGGGCCCAAGCTGATCGGTTTCAGCCTTACAGTTCTACATGGAGGAGGTACGTTTCAACCCCGGCGCTCGGAATTGTGAGGAACTGGTGTGACATGCAGAACCGGAAAGGGTCTTGGACATTTGCTCATGAGCAGGGAAATCACACGATCCCACAGCCTGTGCTGTCGATCCTCCCAAGACATGTGATTTTTCTCCTCTTTACGATCCCTTCCCATCTCATCTCTTTGTATAGGATCCCGTTGCTGACTGGGCCTTGGCATTGAAGATCCTCAAGTCCGAACAGTTCCTGCCCAATGGGCATGTCGTGGTCAGTTTACAGTGTACTCGTGACATTTGATTCTCAACACTGATAGTTCATGGATGGTTCGCACTGGTGCCACATGGAATATCCGGAGGTGTACAATGCATTTGCGAGACAGTGGCTAGACCAACATTTCAGAGAAAAGAACGCGGGACACGATGAGCTATGAGCCGGATAAGATGCATGTGATACTTATGCCCTCAAGTATGTCCGGGGATAAATTGACTGGACTTCTCAACCCGCCGAATTTTACACTCACTCACTCACTACGCACCGGAGATCATGGGAAGCATGAGATCCGGGTATTATTACCAGGGGAAAAAAGAAGACATCGGGGACAGGAAGGCGCGCAGGGTCGTGCAGTGATCTCCTGACACACCGCAAGTGTGCTGTATGCGGTCCCAGCAGGACAGGATTGATGCCTCACACCATCACCGCGAACGATACAATTATAAGCGAGCGGATGATGAAAATGGCTAAGGCAACCGAGGTGGACTGTACAAACTAGGGCCGCGGTCGGTCTTGTTCGGGTCATCCTGATACAATTCACCTTCCCGCCTCTTCACAAACCCGCAATGTTTGTGGAGTCCCTGCACTCTTATCTTTCAGTTACCTGCGCTCCCTGGAAACACAGTAGGTCTTCGGCGAGTCATGATAAGCGGCAGTTCAAGTTTGATTTGCCTTGTTCATGACCAAGATAATCCAACCATCATGCTGCTGCGCTACTTCCGATGTGTTGCTCTCATCTCGGAAGGGGGTATACCATTCGCGTTTATTTTTCCCTGACACTGTTATACACTGGCCTCACTTATCGATATGTGACTCATCAAAAATGATCACGTGATCTATTTAATTGCTTCCATCTTGATTTTTACGATCGTTACAACCCGTGTCTTTGTCACATGAGCTCTGAATTTGAAATGTTAGTACAAGTAAGATCCTGGAAGGCTGATGATGTTTGCCTCAAATTCCAACATTGTATGAAATTGTTGCTGAGATATCAATCAATGAAACTAAATCAGAGAATAGCTGTAAAATTCAATCAGGAAATCCTCATCATTTTGAATATCTGAGGATATACAACATTTTCTATTACAGTTGCAAATGGGACTTGGATCTACTCTCAACAGAGAAAGCAAGGTAAGAAGCTTGCTGTGCAGATTGGACTTGTGCTGGGTGGAAAGTATGGAGGTGTGACAATCAACAAGAAATAATGTTGAAAAGAGAAGTCAATTCAAAGACTGGAGAATACAACCAAGTAGCTACAGTATATTGGTCTTGATTGGCTGACAGAACACAACCCCGAGGTGGATTGGCAGGAACAGACCATGAGATTCAGCTGATGCCCAGAGCAGTGTCACATGAGGGGTCACGAGGAGCACCAAGCAATGAGGATGCAATCGACCTTGACATGGGCGCAGCGGATCTGGAAGAAGGAGAATAGATCCTATTGGTCAACTTGGGGAAGGAAGTGGATTTATGGCTGAAGGAAACGCCAGCACAGAAATTTGCAGAAGAAGCGGAAAAGGAGAAGGAGAGAATGACCAAGGGAAAGATCCCAGATCAATATTGGGAGTTCGTCAAAGTATTTGCCAAAGAATTGTTTGACTCGCTACCAGGCCGACGGGCATGGGATCATGTGACAATCAACCCAAAAATAAAGTCGAAAAGAGAAGTGAATTCGAAGACTGGAGAATACAACCAAGTAGCTACAGTATTTATACCCAAATCCTGTCTGAGTCATATCTACAACTAATGAGTCATAAGGCTATGTACCGCATGGAGCACTGGTCATGGGTTGTAGTAGAACCTTCCGGAGCATATGTTGCGCAGCCTTGAATCAATGAAGATAATCCCCTGGATCCCTAGCCTGGACCGTCAGATGCCATGATCCGTGATAAGATAAGATTGTTGATGATAAGATGAAAAGGGGTCGAATTATGACATTACCCCCTCTCTAGGGTCGATGTCCTCATTGACTAGGCCAATGGGTGTGAAGACGTTCTCATAAGGGTTGAAGAGTTGTCGTTGGGGGTATGGAAGGCGTTCGTCTCTGGGTTTGTAGCGATGGATGAGATAATCCCAATGTCCAGCTTCGAGCGTTGGCAGGAGGCGAATGCGTGTGTCTGGGTTGGATTGTTTCCTCTGCCACGTGTGTCTGGGTTGGATTGTTTCCTCTGCCAATCTCTCAGGACCTTCTTTGCGTGGGTAAGATGACGTGATGGTTCCCAGGTGTTCTCGCTATGCGGCCATCCCTTCCATTTGACCAAGTATTGTTTCCCTCAGCTGACATTTTGTTCTTTCACAATCTCTTCGACTTCCCACTCCTCTGCTCCTCCAATCATCTTGGCTACGGGCCTCTTCTCTCAGCGATGGGGGGGTGGTTCATGATAGGGTGTCAACAGTAACTCGTTGAACACCGGATGCCTTCGGTCCGTGTCCGGCAAATCCAGCTTCCATGCAGCCGCTCCAACCTTCTCCAATATCTTGTATGGCCCCAGTCTCTTGTTGCTCATCTTCTTTGATGGTCTATCCGTCTCGATATTTTCCCCTTCTATGTACACCTTCATCCCAACCTTCAACTCCGGAACTTCTGTTCTTTGTTTATCGTAGTATTTTTTCATTTTTTCATTTGCTTTTTCTAGTGCTGCTTTTGCTTCGTCTTTTATTTCTTTGATTCATTTTACAGACTCCTCTGCCGACTCATTCCTCGATTCCATCCGCTGTTCCACTCCCTTCCATGGGTGATATCCGTGATTTGCATAGAGCAGCGATATTTTGGTTGACATGTTCATTTTGTTGTTATATGCGAACTCTGCCATTCCCAGCCATTCCGACCAGTCCGTTTGATGGTAATTGACATAGATGCAGAGATAGTGCTTGATCTCCTGATTTATGTGCTCTGTCTGCCTATCCGTGATTGGGTGATATGCGGTCCCCAGATTCATTTCCATGCCCAACATCTGATCTGTCTCCTTCATGAAGCCCTTGATGTATCATGAGTCCCTGTCGGTGATGATCTTGTGAGGAATCCCGTGATAGCGGAAGACCCAGTCCCTTGTCAATTGTGCTACTCCTTTGCTGCTGATGTCAGTACTAATTGGTTCGACATGGATCATTTTGGTGAAGGTGTCACACCACACATGAATTGTGTCATACCCGTTACTGACTGGCAAGGGTCCGATTTGATCCATGGAGATGATTTCCCATGGCGCGTTTGGAACTGCATGCAGGTGCAGAGTCCCCATCCTTGCTCTCCTGGTCTTGGTCCGTTGGCATACCTCGCAGTCTGGATGTATTTCCGAAATTGGTTCCCCATCCTTGGCCACCAGTAATTCCTTTCCACCATCTCCTGCGTTTGGTTGATCCCAGCATGCCCAACCAAAGGCATGTCATGGTGTAGCCCAATGATTTTGTCCTGCAGCTCCTTGTCCCTCGGTACATAGAGCTTTCCATGATACGTGATGAGCCCGTCTTCCTTTTTCCATCCAGCGAGTGACTTCTCCAAGGCCGCCTTGATGCTTCCATCAATTGATCGAGTGGCCTTGATCTCATTGATTAGCTGCTGATCCTGTCCC